ATCGACTACCCTGAACCCTAGACCCTAAACTCTAAACCTGGACTTTGTACTTGATGACTCTATGCACTTCACTCTGTGACAATATGACTCTATGCACTAGATTCTCTGTACTCAAACTGTGCACTTGACTCTATGACTTTTTGTACTTCACTCTCTGACTTTACATAGCGCTAAACTCTTCGCAAATGATGCTTTCGGGCCACATGTCTTCTAGTTTCTTTGTTGCGGGCTGTTGCGGGGGTAGGGCTCCGGGCGCGTGACAAGGGAGTGCTGGGGTAGTGAAGCTTGCAATTGAGGGCATTGCGATGGTCACCAAGTAGGGCTTGTTGATTGCGAGGTCAGGGTCTACGGCTTTGGCCCAAGCCCAGGTAGATCCCGCCTTCGTTCAGGGTTCTGACAGTCGCAGATCCGTGGCTGCATGCAGAGAATGAGCGCGGGCCCTGTCAACAAGAACTCACGGGTGACGCCTCGGAATACGAGTCCATGGCGTTGAACTGTTGTTACCATTAGTGCTGTCCGAAAACCAGAATCTATGCTCACTAATCAGTCTTACTAAACCCTTCAGATAAAGCTCTCCCATAAGTTTGCCCGAGGGTCGGGCTTGAAGAGATTTTGTTGAAAGAAACGATCTAGGGCCCCCAAGGGACGGCGAAATGCAGGGTCAAAGCCTGGCCACGCTTTTCTCCAGGGTTTGGTGCTTCGCCAGGCTGATTACGACGAACAAAGAGTTCGTGCGCGGCCGTCAGGCACCCTCAGTCGTCCTGGTTGGCATGTGGAATGTCGCCAAAAGTCTAAGTAACTGATGCGTCCACTTTTACATGCTGTTATGTGTTGTGTTGATAATCAGCTTTGTGACAGTTACAGTTCGCAGGCAGATGCCCATGAGGCGTTCATGTTCATCGTGTCCAGGTGGATCTGCTTGCTACTGCCTGCCTGGTACAGTAGTGTGACAACATGTAGCAAGTAGTGCAATACCCGCCGCGCAAGCCGTTTCATATCTCTTTCAGCTTGCACTGGCAGCTGCAAATACTGCATCTTCCCATTCAACATCACAATTTTCGAGCTTTGTGCCTGCCATACCCGAGTTTGGCCAGACAGACCTGACCCGGTTGAGCAATGAATCTGAAGCCGCTACTTTCCCAATCGCCGATCACCTGCGTTGCTGCTCAGTGATTGGGTAGGCATTGTAGCCATCCCAGCCGAATCGACACACCTTAGCAAGCAAGTTCTGGCCGGAGCCGCGTGCCTGGCTGCCCGGTTCATGTAACACGCCGCAGGATGCTGGAGGCCTGCATCGCCGTCGGTGATGGCACAGACGCGGCAACACAGTCTGCAAAAGACTATTCTGCGCAGGCTTGGCCTCGGCTTTCGCGTCACGTTTAAGACAGTGGCGCTCTTCGCCTGCAGGAGTCTCTCGAGAAGAGCAGCCTCCTAGGTCACGTTTTTGGGATGGATCTAGGGTACCGACCTCAGATAAAGGAATGCAAAGTAGAGAGACACTACGGTCCGTCTACGGTCTCTGCACTGGGCTTGCCGAGGCAGAGAGTGCGCTGTAGGCATTGCAGTTACTCTTCCGAGACAGCCCGTGTGGAGTACTGTCTCTGCTTGAGGCCGGGGATGAAATGTGATGTCGATAGATAAGTTGGTTTCCCCCGTTATCGGTCGAAGATGCTGTCGCACTCTGCAGCATGGTTTTCTGTCAGTTGCACTGCTGGCCTCGATGATCGCGATCGCGAGTCTTTCCAAAGGCACCACATACTCGCTCAAGTCCCCATTGCCGCGCTGTCGCATTCGGAGATCATGCGATACCCATACGGCTCAAGGAATGCTGCAGTCACTGTCTTTGGAGAGAGCAACACAGACAGACTGTTCATGTACGAAGTTCAGGCTGTGCACCTGGCAACACCAACGAATAACCGCGTTATTCTTGACACGGTCCGGTGCATTGGCAAAGCTTTAAGCCGACGGATGCCATGGCGTTGCAAACAGTTCTTCTCAGTGGTTTTGCCGCGCTCGTTGGTCTTGCTTGCGGAGAAGCTCGGCTCATGAGGGCATCTTCCGATCTGAACCTTCGTTGCGGGCTTGCCATGGCTTGCCGCATTGCCGTCCAGGCTGCGGGTGCACGTTCGCTTCTGCGAAAACGGGCCGAGGCCGCCATTGCTCGCCGTGCTGAGATGCCATGCCATGCCCAATCGAGACCTTAGGAGCTGTAAGTCCTGATGCAGGCCCGCCCACCTTGCCAAAGAGCGGCCGGAGCCTGCTCAGCATTGGCTTTGGTACTCGTCGGCGTCCTTGGATTGCTATGGTGTTTTATTTCGCCTCCGCCATTTTCGGTTGCTTGCTGGCATGTTCGCTGCACCACATGGCACATACCCCAAGTAGCTGAGCACGCGGTCTCGCCGCTGCTGGTTCAGGTAGAGATCGTGGAGGCACCAAGCTTTCGACGCAACGATCCGGCTTTGTCTGTGTACCTGGGTGCCTTGGCATAGCGCATCCCCCCAGTTTACACCAAGCATTGCCGACAAATCAAAGTCAAAGAGATAGGACAGCCACGATTGAGGACGGTATCATTTGTGTCGCACTCGTGCCGAGACACGAGGTACGACAGTGTATGCTAGCGCTAAACTTCCGAAAGGTGAAACATCGAAAGTGTTTCGGCTAGGTAAACACAGAAGGTGTTTGCTAGGAATGCGCAATCACTATATCCGTGGCCATTGTGCTCACAGTGCCCCACTGCTAGTGGGGGGAAATTTTGAAGTTGAGAGAGGAAGGGAACAGGGCTAATTAGCCCTGCTTTGTGCTGCTATGTCGGGGAGTAGCTATGGACATGAAGACTCCGAGCTACCGGAGGTCCCGACCGAAGTCCCCTTTGACGATGAGGTGGACTGCGCTAGTGAGGTGGGGGACCGGGCCCTTGTGGTGCCGACGGTCTCCCGCCCTCAGAGAAGGCAGCGGCGCTAACTTCGCTCGGAGGCTGTCACTAGAAGGCAACGCCTAGTGTTCGATAAGGCCTACCGCCATCTTCTAGACCAAAGGTTCGACCCCTTAGAGCTATATAGCTACCATCGACCTCGACGAATGCCCAGCCATGGTGCAGCAGCTAGCGGGAGAGCTAAACATCCACTGTGAGGATTGGCTGGTGGATGTGCCATACCTCTGGCTGCAAAAGGCGAGGGAGGAAGCCATGCACTATAGGAGAGCCCACGGCGACCTCAAGGCGGCTTCGAGCCAGACCGGGATCGGGAGGGAGCCCGTGCTAGCACCGGTAAGGGGGAGAGGAACCGGAAGCTACTGGAACCTGGAGTCATTGTGGCTGCGCGCGAGAAGAAGCTAAAGGCCGAACTGCTAGAGATCGAGGCGCCGGTCCTGGCGTCGCTCGAAGGAGCCTGGATCCGGCCTGGGCTGCCTTGTTGCTAACTGGGAAGACGAGGGCTTCCACACTCCAGCGTTACCTGAGCTATTATCGGCAGTGGCGGCTTTGGCAAGCGGAAGCCAAGCCAAGGAGGCTTCCGGGGCGCCCTTCGGATCTGATAGACTACCTGCTAGCCCGGAGGGACGAGCCGTGTGGACGTTCGGTTCCCGACGCTATCATGAAGGCTATTTCCTGGGTGGAGAAGGTTGCGGAGTTTTCCCTGGAGCTCCGCGCTACCAATGGCCGGTTCGTCTGGGCAGGTAGGGACAAATCGTCGAGGCCCCTCTCATCAAGACGGCTCTTCGCTATCCTGTCTATATGCTGGCGGGGCTAGAGAGGCTTGCGCTGGACGCTAACAACACCGTTGGCTGGAGGGTTTGGGCCTGGGCTAAGCTCGTCAGGGTCTGGGCCTCGTTAAGGTGGTCCGACCTCCGAGCTATCATCCCGCGGAGGTGTCCATGGTGGAGGGCCGGCTAGCTACTGTACTAAGGAAACCAAGTGTGGGCGGAGGGGGTTTGGGCACGCATTGGAGGCCGTTAATTAAATACTTGTTTTTGACTGGGAAACCCGAACCAAGGGTGGAGGAGTTGAGGCGAGGCGGCCACGTGGGGGCAATGGCAGAGGGGTGAGGGCGGTGAGGGCGTAGAGGGCGGTGTGGGTGGAGCGGGTTTGGGCACGCATTAGAGGCCTTTAAATACTTGTTAAACTCGAACCAAGGGTGAGGGGTGAGGGCGGTGAGGGCGTAGAGTGGGGGCAGTGTAGGCGAAGCGCTGAGGGCGGTGTGGGTGGTGAGGGCGGGGAATGGAGACCGTGGAGGCAATGTGGGCGAAGTGGACACTGGAGGAGGGGTAAGGGCAGTAGGGCTGGTGAGGGCGGTGAGGGCGAAGGCTGTGGGGGTTGTGAGCGAAGCACTGATACGGTGTGGCCGAGGTCAGGGCGGTGTGGGCAATGGGACTGTGGGCGGAAAGGTTGGGTGGGGGCGGTGTAGCCAACTTTGAAGCTTGTAAATGCTTCTTGACGGGAAAAGGCATTAGCAAAGCCTCAGTAAAAACAAACAAAAAACCTTCGGGATTTCACTGGCGCCGCCCCAGCGGGGTCGGCGGATATTATTATATGATGCAGATCTTGTGAAAACTTGCCGGAGGTAATGGTTGCTTCTGGCACACCCAGTATGATGCATTCTTGGTGGAGCAAGATGCCGCTGGTCCATTTAGGGGCCGGAACATGAGCCAGATCACAAGCCTCGTTGGTTTTGCCGGGGGCCGCTTCCCGGTGGCGGTTCAAGCTCTGACTCTGGCGTTGTGCAAGTGGATGCATGAGGAACTTGTGATTGAAGTTCTCCGTCCAGTGGCTGTCGCGAGGTTACCAAAGTGCCGGTGGTGCTGTTTGTTATGGTGGTCTCCCGGCCACGGACTACAGTCGACTAGGCGCTTCAAGGTGCTATTGTGTGGTGAAAGATGATGAAAGTCGCAAGGTTTGCCAACTTGTTAGGCCATGCAGAGGCAGTTTCAATTATGCTGGACGAGATCACTGGGCCCGTCGCCAGGAGTCAGGCACCCCTGTGCTTTGCTGTCCAAATACTTGAGCTGATCTTGCGGGACATTACGACTCACAGGTGTCAGCTTTGGCACAGATGTACTTCGAACATGGCTTTCAATCGCTCCCAGATGGTCGAAGGCAAGATCACTTTTGTCAAAGCTCTCTACTTCGGAACTGCATGAGGTTTTCCTTCCAAGCTTGCAAGCCATGCCAAGGAACCGTATCTCGGGTCCTCGCTCTCTCTCTCTCTCTCTCTCTCTCTCTCTCTCTCTCTGTCTCTCTCTTTCTTCTTCTTTGTCTGACACGTTGGGCATCGCCACTTGAGATGCAGCTGGGAAGAGATCAACCCTGATTTTCAAAGGTTCCTCCCTATGAAAGAACCTTCAAAAGGTGCTGGTCGTGCTACTGCCTTGTAAATTCCGTGAAACACCACCACGAGAGCACTGGCCCATAATGTCATCAAGGATAATGGAGAAGAAGTTCAGGAAACCTTAGATGCCTTACTAGCATTGCCAAGACAAAGAAATAGGCCTCAGTTACAAGAGCCAGTTCAGAGTGCGAATGCGGTCTCGTTGAGCACATCCGTTCCGAGGCAGCGGCTAGATCCTCAAGATGTGGGGGCTTCGTACCGAAATGCTCCTTTGCTGCAACCAATCCCGAGTGTCTTGAACCTGGGATCCTTCTTCCAAACTCCCTTTTTCTCTCCCTGCCGCTGCATTCTCTTTTCCGAAGTTTGGAGGATCTGTTGCAATGCAGCCGCATCGACAGTGGATCCATGCATAATGCATAGGCAGTCACATTGCAACAGCAGCATCGGTAGTAGCACGTGCGTAGTATCCTTCGCTGCAAAGATGTTACATAGAGTCTGCCAGAGAAAAAAGCCGCTGTATGTTCCACCAGAGTGGTCCATGCTTTCTCAAAGTGAGACGCTTACATTGGTGCGCCCCTTGTTGCTTCAGAGCGGACGAGCCTACAAGAAGGTGAAGCGTGCTTTTCTACGCCCAGCCATCCCTGGTGAGAAGATTCAAACAATCCTGGATGGGAAGACCGAAACAGAAAATGTGGCGAGCGAAGGTGACATGGTTGTACGTGCTGACACATCCTTTAAGGAAGAGTACATCTTGAAGGCAACAGATTTTCGCGAAGTTTATGATGCAAACAGTCCTTTGCAGATCGACACACATCCGGATGCAGAGGAACTTCGAGCAAAGGGTTTTCAGTCCTATGCTCCTACCAGACGAGTTGTTGCCATCCAAGTGGACCAGGACCTTTTGAAGCTGTTTCCAGATGGTCATTTCGAAGCATCATGGGGATCGCCAATGTGCGTGGAAGCCGGTGATTATCTGGCAAGCGGCCGTAGCCTCAACGATGGTACCATTGCGGAAATAATCCGTATCCAGCAGAGTGCGTTTCACCAGACATATGAACTGGCATGATAAGCTACTTGCGACACGGCAGCTGCTCCCTTGTTAGCAGATCGTGTAGACTACTTGCTGTCGCAGAAAAGACATCACCAGCATCTGAAACAGGAGCAAATGCTCGCTGCAACATTCTGTTTGTTTTTCGATGCATGCAGGGTATTGATGCAGCGCCAGCCGTTGGCTGCCCACCGATCATCCAGGGCCCTACATATTCATGCACCATGTGGTGGCAACTTCAAGTTGCTTGATGTGCTGAACAGCAAGCACGGGTTCAAGCGCTCTACATGCATGTACGCGTTGAATCTCTCTCTCCTGCATCACCATACTGGGATGATATGTGAAGAGCCTCGTAGAGCGTGACCCAGCGAAACGACAGGTGATTGGACTACCCGGCGGGATGGACAACTCCGAACTGTGGCCTTTGTTTGAGGAGTCATGGACAGTTTTCTGACGAAGCTGCATGTGCATCCGGAAGCCAGGAAGCCAACACATATGGAATGCCGCTTCTTCGAGGAGCAGTCGGTGACTCTGAAGGCGGGATCATTCAGCTGTCGAGGATAAGCTGACGAGTATTTACAATGCGACCCTCACATGAACTCCCCGCAGAGGCTACAGTTCAAGCTATATAGTCGCCTTCGCAAGCTGCTAAGTGCTCCTTCCTGTAGTTAATTCCTATATTGCATCGCTCCAAATCTCATCCAAGGATGTTGCGCTACGTTCTAGCTACTCTTCCTCCAGGCGAATACGTCGTCTATGTGTACGACTCCATGCAGTACCCGTTCTTCCGCGGTGAAGCACACCATCAGCTGGGTTCCTACAGGTTGTCAGAATTTTTCACAGAAAAGACAAGCAGCATTTGATGCTAGTCCAGGTTTCATCCCAACAACGTCATACAAAGACCAGTTCCGTTGTCCTACACATCGACATTGAAGAGCGTACAGGTTCAGTGCAGATACTTTTCCGCTCATGGGTTTGATAGCATTTGCAAAATCCTGGAGAATCTGCGCAGGAGGAGATGGGAAGACTGGAGGAATCCGACAGGCCCCCCACTGATGGTCAGCTGTAGTTGGTGCAGCTGAAGCCAGCCAAGGACCGCGGCTGCGCGCTCGCGTGCGGGGGGAGGGGCTTGACCTGCCCCGAACCCCGCGGCCGGTAGAGAGAGAGAGAGAGAGAGAGAGAACGGGGGCCTCATCCGTTAAAGCAGTCTTACCTGAGACAACGGTGGACAGGGCGCGCCCGCGCGCGGAGTGGGTGGGGGTTCCTGCCT